ATTTTTTTTTTTAAATTTATTTTTAAGAACACCCTTCCCCCACCTCTGAAATGGGAAAGGTGTCAAGCACGGAGGAGCATTCAAAAGGCACAAAACACTGACCTCATCAGGCCAAGAACCGCTAAGAAACCAGACGTGCCAATCGTGGATAGAGAGGTACCGATGTTCCCCCAGGCCCCATCTGTAACGCTGCAGCCTTATGCCAGGAATCGGAGACCGACAGGACCATAACAGCAATCCCATGGCCAAAAGGAACAAGAAACAAGAGAGAGATGAAATGAAGCATCCTTACAAGATTCGGGATACGATAACGGGATCTTAACTACTCCGTTTCCCTGGGCTTGCCCTTTATCTGTACCGTCTATAATGAAGGAATAATTATTTTTACAAAAAAAAAGAAGGCATGGCTTAATATTTTTCATAGAAGTCGCTCCCCAGTCATCCCCCAGAAACCAGTGCACGCTCAGCACAGCGGACACCAGCCTCGGAATGGCAAGCCAGGCTTCAGTTTAGGATTGTAAAAGTCTGCTAAATATAGTCGAGCTGCATAATGTTTTTTCTGACACCATTAAATCCAGTTCATTAGTGAGCGAGGGATCAAACTGGATCTTACGTCTTAAGGTGAAAGTCAATTCCCGACACTGCCGACTCCGAACTCCAGACTTCTCCGACAGTGTTAAGAACCTCTCTATTTTCTTATAACCTCTGGTAACCAGAATAAACAGGGTGACTGCTATGCAAACAGACTACCTGAGCAAAATTGCAGCAGATGCTCCAACCTCCAAGCTCTATTTAAAGAGCTGCTGCTTGGGGCTGCCTCGGCAGAGCTTAAAGCTACACCTGAGCGTACCACTCATCCCTCACTTTAACAAGGTATTTTTAATGGAGTTAGAGGTTCTTCCTATTTATGAATATTATCACAGAATGGTTTGGCTTGGAAAGGACCTCAAAGATCATCTAGTTCCAACCCCCCTGCCATGGGCAGGGACACCCTCCACTACACCAGGTTGCTCAAAGCCTCATCCAACCTGGCCTTGAACACTGCCAGGGATAGGGCAGCCACAGCTTCTCTGGGCAACCTGTTCCAGTGCCTCAGCACCCTCAGTGTAAAAAATGTCTTCCTTATATCTAATAGAAATCTTCCCCCTTTCAGTTTAAAGCCATTGCCCCTTGTCTTATCACCATACACCCTTGTAAAAAGCCCCTCTCCAGCTTTCCTGTAGCCCCTTTAAGTACTGGAAGGCTGCTAGAAGGTCTCCCTGGAGCCTTCTCTTCTGCAGGCTGAACAATCCCAACTCTCTCAGCCTGTCTTCATCCGAGCGGTGCTCCAGCTCTCCCATCATTCTCAAAAAGATGCCAAAATGGTAGAGCCTTTTCAGGTTTGCACATAGGTAATGCAAATATTCAGCATCACTTGAGCGGGAGAACAAAAAGTATGCTGGGATGGTGCCTGGACACCACACTGCCCTCCCTTCTCTTGGTCAGCAGCTCCCAGCTGGTGGAGGTGGCCTCGTTGCTGGCACATCCATCCCAGCACTCCCACTGGGACAGAAATGGAGACCTTGGGAAACCTCAGAGAAAGAAGGTGAGGGCCAGGGAGCAGATAATCACCTCCTGGAGCGGGCAAGTGGGATGGTGGCAGCTCATCTCATTTGGAAAAGGCCAACAACATCTTAGAAAGTCAGCGGCAGCAAGCAAGTCTGCAAATGAGAAGCCACATGGGCAAGAGCAGCATGTGGAGAAAGCAAAGTATGTGAGAAAGAAGAAAGGTAAACATCTGGAAAGAGATCTATGTACCAGCTGAAACACGGCGCAGCCTCCCCAAGCTGGCTTCACCACATCTCCAACATTCCTCCATGGAGCAGCTCTGTCCCTGCCCCGCCGGGCTACTCCTGTGTCACACCACTCCAAATCAACGTTTTAAGACTGTGCTTAAACAGCATCGATAGCAGTTAGAGAGGAAAATCCTGATCTCATCCCCGGCCCCAGTTAATTGTTGCAACATTGATTTACTCTAATTTGACTTCTCACTCCAAATTAAACCCGCGTTACTGAAGGAGGGACCGCGGGCAAATGCTCCCCGCTCACTCCCTCCCCTCCAAGACAATAAATTTAATATTGAATAGACTTGAAAAAAAAAAAAAAACCCACCACGGTAGTTGTTGCAGGATCCATACTGAAAGATCTTTTTCCTTCCCCCTCTCCTTTTTTTTTTTTTTTTTTTCCCCTTTCTGCGAGTAATTAAAAGATGCTTTTCTTGACTAATGATCCCCCTGTTTAGAAATGGGAAGTCGATACTCCTTCACCAGCAGTCAGCTTCAATTTGTCACAGAGCTCCCGAAGTTTGAGCGGCGGTTCTCAGAGCTGCTGGTAATTGCTGGAACCAATTACCAGCCTTCCAACGCTGACCTAATCAGGGACCCACGGACACCACTGCTCAGAGGCCACCTGGTCCCCTTTCCCTTCCACGTGCACGTATTTGCCCGTGCTTGGGTTTTCTGCCGCTTTGCCAACTTTCCGTGCTCGCGTTCATTCCTCGTTCCTCCCCATAATGACACCAACACCTTCACTCTGAACTTTGCCTCATGCTACTACCTTACTCTACGTTGCTTCCTTGGGGATCCCATTGCACCTGTGCTCCCACAGTTTCATGCCAGAGGCCATCCGAGGTGTTCCTTTTGATCCAGAGGCACCCAATGACCTGCAGATCTGCTCGTTTTAGAAGCAGCCTCTCAGACTTGATGAGTCTTGGCACGTGCTAACATGAGAGGACATACCTGGGCAACACGTCCTTGAGAAAAGTAAGAGGAGTAATGCCTTCTGCTACAAAACTCTCAGGCTTTGAGTGCACACTCTCCGGTCCGAGAGCCTTTCCAACCTTTAGAATAAGTTCTCAGGTTTATCTTTCCCCATGACTTTCTCAGAAAAGAGTGTTTAAGAGACTCTGAGTGGACTAGGAAAGGTCAGCAGTATGATATATTGATATGGTTTAAGTTTGATAATGTTTAACTTATTTTTGAGTGTATAAAATTAAAAATGCAAGCTGTACTCAAAGCCTGGCACACCTCTATTTTTATAAATACTGCTGATGTTTTCCTGAGTAAGACTCCTTAATTATGCCATGGCCTACAGTAGTCATTTGGCAATCCCTCCTCCAAAATATCCGTCTTCCCTGAGTCTCTCCACCCTTCCCTCTACTCAACAGAAACACAGGGATGCCACTGCAATGATTCAGCAACCAGAGCCAACTTCTCCCAAGCTGAAGGGACTGCTTTTGAAGCCATGTCAAGACTTCCAGGTTCTTTTTAGTCCAGCAAGCGAACGCTCCTGGAGCCTCCCAGCCCAACAAATTCAGTATTTGTGGAGCAGTCAATAATCCATTCTTTTTTTCCTGTGGGTTTCCACTGATGGCTTCATCTCCAATAGAAAGACACAACGTGAAATGGTGAAACCCACGTATGTCTGATCCTCTCAACAAATATCTATTAACAGAGGGTCCATTATTGTGCTGACAACTTTCCGTGCTTTCAGGGGGGGCACAATGGAAACAGGAAAGTTAAGAGACATGCCTATGGTAAAGAAACACCCGAGAAGATTCTGTCTGTCCAAGGCCCTTTACTGATGCTTTGTGCTAAGCCTTTGAATTGTCTGGGGGAACAGTTAAGAAATCTTCTGTTCTTGTGTTTCCAGCAATTTGTTTGCAGGCACAGCCTGAAGGTCTGAGCAAACATGCGGAAAGCCACGGAGGGTGGGTGGATTAATGAGTATATGAAGTGGAACTGAAAACGGGAGCACTACGCAGGACGGATGGAGTAAGCGGGGCTGCAGAAGGGAACGGGGATACGAACCAGTTCAGGAGAAACTTGGAGGAAAACATGGAAGTACTTCCCTCTCCCATCTGATGGAGTTTGGGTGAGAAGAGAACTCATTAAAGCAGGAGCATGTTGAACCTGTGAACCTCTGCTTGTAGCAGCTCTCAGACTCTGGCTGACCCCAGAGCCCCCCAGCACGGGCAGGAACAGCCCCCCAGCACTAGCTATCAGCTCCCTTCTCCTTCAGAAGAAGTTTTGCTGAATGCTTCTTTCTTCCCTGATCTCCAAATATCTTTGGACTCCCTCCACCACTCCTCCACCAGAACTCCAAATCTCAGCTCCCCAGTCATCTTTCTGCTTGCTTACTTTCTTGCCTCTTCCCCCAGTCCCTCAACTTCAGTTGCCTCTTCTTGGTTCAGTCCCTCAACAACAAAAAAAGGGGGGGTTTGTTTAACTCAATTTAACTCAATGTTTAACCTCAGGTCCATTGTAGCTGCTTCTGGTAGGATTCCTCACGTGAAACCGCAAACAGCAGTGAGAAAATGGAATGCACACTACAAAACTTGAACTTATTGCCTTGTCACATCTTGGACAGAAGCATTATGACACTAGTGGAGACCAAAGTAAAGTACAAAAGGAGGCACGCACTTTGAAAAAGCAGACTTAGCAGATGTTTATGTGGAAAATATCACCTCAGTCCCTGCTGCAAGCAGCAGAAAAAATGGGAGTAGCAAAGCAAGATTGCAATTGCTCTGTGGGAAAATTTTCACATAATCTTGACTCTATTTTTCCTAACAGTTCTTCCATCACGTGAGTGTGCACTTGGACACAAAGATGGAAATGCATCATTACAAGATGAATCTTTATACTTTGTGTTCGAAAATGTTACAGGTCAGGAAAAGTGCAATTATGTCACCAACAAACATAAACAGCTGAATATAAACATAAAGATGCACAGAAACAAAGAAGAATTAAAATAAGCTCTGAGCATGAAATAGAAAGAGAACAAAGTTGATTTTTTTAGAAGCACAACCCACTTCCTAACATAAAAAACTAAACAATTTAATTCAAACGATGGCTCTCTTTTCATCACAGTCACATGTGTTTTAGATTTTTCATGATAGTATCTTTATTATATGTATACTAAAATAATATTAAAAAAAAAAAAAGAAAATCCAATTGAGTGTATGCCTTTTCCTTTTAAAAGTACTTAGAATTGAGGTATCTCTGCAGCTCACCTCAGCAGCAAGGAGCAACATATATTTGTTAGGTGCAACAATATAAGATCTACTCTGGATTAAAGTAATGCTAATGACTGAAAGGCAGCAATAAGTTGATTTCAAGCTATCTGATGAAATGATTACATTAACTGTCTAATAATATACATGGATAGAGCAGACATACAGTTTATGTACAAGCAAAATCTCTGTGTAGCTCTCCCTGAGCGTTTTCATACGCACAGTCATTCATTTAAGTAGCCTGATTAATGTACTGGCTTCATTCTCGAAGATGAACCAAAGGTGGCACCACAAATTCATTTTTCACGGCTAACGAAATAATGCAAGAAGAAACAGTTGACTTTATTACAGACAACAGTATAAACCTACTCCTACACCGTAGGAGGTGGCCTAGGTATATGCTCCCAGGTTATAATTTCACTTGATCCGGTACGGCAAAAAGCAGGATCCAGAGATACACATAAACAAAGTCAGAATATAATTTGTTCTGACTTCTCTCATAAGCAGGAGGCAAACACCGAGAACTAAACCTCAGTCGTACTGTTTGCTACCTGGGGACTGACCCGTGCTGGGATGGCAGGCTGTCCCTCTGGAGCTCTCCCTAAGACCATTATAACGCACTTCTGAAGACAACTTCAAAGGTTGGCCCAGCTGCGCAAGGTAGTCCAGAAGATCCTCCTGCTGCCCGAACCCCCTTCTGAAACGCATCTGCCAGAGGTCTCTCCGCTTTCCCCAAGCCAATACTTTAGATGTAACTAGTAGCACTTCCATTTAAAATCTACTAAAATCAGGAAAGTATTGTCAAAACATCTTCCTTTGACAATGATCAGATAAATCAAGCATAAAAAAATCTTCAGCTTTTGGCAGGACAACGCATTGCAGAAAGAGTAAAAAAACCTTTAGCTTTTGGCAGGACAACGCATTGCAGAAAGAAGATTTTCACTGTGTTGAGCTACGATGGGTATGTAAAGAACTGTTCTAACAGGAAACACACACCCTCACCAACTTACGGTTTCACATATATCCCATAAAAAAAGTAAGTAAGTCCACAGTGGGGAGGACTTGCAACATCTGTGATGAGAATTCAAAGACCTGACGGCCAGGTACAAATTCCTGGGTGAGCCTGAACTACTGAACGCAGATTATTAATCACAAACTGGTGGCCCAAGAGCCAAAAACTTCGTGGCCGCCCGAAACAAAGAAATACATTACGGTATAATTTAGATTGAGGAACAACCAAGCAGGAGGTTTCAATCTCCCGCTGTTTTGTCCATCAGCCAACTGAACAAAAAAATTGTTGAGCTGCTGAGGAAACCTTCACAAGAGTGAAAAAGTAACAGGGTCGGTTGACTTTGGAACACATGTTCTTCCTGGGCATGTAGTGAAGATATATACTTCATGATTTTTACACGGTGTAGCTCAAGTGAGAATTTTCAAAGTCCATGTTGTAAAACGGGGTAACGCCCTACCACCTCTGTCAAAATGAGGATTTATGTGCTCGGAGCTTGCAGCCTTGGCCACGTGCACCATCCGCCTGCTGCGTGCCACGGTGGAGATGGAGCGAGAAAGCCTACCTTGTGGAGTCTGAGGAAGGTTTCATATGGCCTTGGCTGCTCTCCTCCCACACGCTGTTTGCCAGCTCGTTCCCGATAGAAGACATCACCTTGATAAGCTCTATAGGCCAGTCATCCAGGTCGAGGGAGCGGACCCGGGAGAGGTGCGTGCCAAGGTTTCGGTGGATACCTGAGCATTCGATACAGATGAGGGCTCCCAGATTCAAGCTGGCCCAGTCGGGGTCTACAGAAAAAAGGGACACAAGCCATTAGTACAACGAAACACCTAACAAAACTTTCTAGTTAATGCTTGTGGATAAAGATTTTGGCTCCGGAGGGAAAAAAAACGTAGGTGTCCTGTCCAAAAGCACAGTTGGGAGGTCTTCCAGTAGGGTCAATTTTGCCCTGTGGGGAATACTAACCCTTCTGAGAAACCCTCAAGCAGTCAAAAAAATTGTGAGGGAGGTCTCAAAAGATGTATCATTGCACCTCCAGCCAACGGAAAAATAATAATTAGAGAGAAAAGAAGAAACAAAGAAAATTATAAACGCAGTGGCAGGCAGCTGATGATGAAGTAGTGGAGAAAGCCCCTCCTTGGGAATCTAGAGCCACTTGTAGCCAATTACAAGGGAAAAAGGAGGGGGGAAAAAAAAAGAGCGACTAGATACAATGTCTCTGTTGCTAACTATATCAACTCCCTTAATAACCATCTATATCATCACTTACATATGGCTTTTACATCTAACACACTATGGGGTATGTTTTCATCTCTAAGATCAGGCAGGTAAGTACTAAGATGAAAATGTGATACTTTGAACAGTCCCAGTTTTAGTGTACGAGCCAGAAGGATTCCACCTACACACACACATGCAAAAAAAATAACCCTGCAAACGGTAAGGCTGTGACAAACCTGACAAAAGCCGGGAAATTCAAAGCAATTTCCCAGGATGGTTCACTTTTTTGTCACTGCCCTGTGTTATTTAAAGCTACGTTTGTATGAATTTCCCTCTCTCCCAACAAACATTCATTTTAATAAACGCAATGAAAGGTGCACGGGAAGAATTTTTGGTGGCTCTTTTTCCTCCCTCCTGCTGTCACATCTTTTCTTCTCGCCTTACCCTGGGCCTCCCAAAGAACTAGCAGGCTACCAGGAACGCCAAGCAAAAAAAAAAAAAAAAGGTGATTAATTAAGAGGGCAGGCAATTTTTATTCAAATCTAAATAAAATTTATAGCGGATAGAAAATGAATTTCCAGCGTCCCCTTCCATTTGGGGAAATTTCACCCAAAGACTCATTTCTACTTTGTGTAACCCAAAATTGAAAAGCTATTTTTGACAGCTAAAATACGTGGAAACAAAATGTTTCCCAGTTCTTCACCATGTCACATTTGGACAGAAAATATGAAAGTAGGTAATTTTAATTGCAAAGTCTCACATTTCATTGAAGGCATTGATTGACGTTTTTCACTCAGACCTTAGAAATCAAAAAATATCTCCAACAAGAAAAATGCCTCACCTTTCACTTCAGTAGAAAACCAGATCTTTTGTTTAAAAAGCTCCTGTTCATACCACGTCTTATATTAGGAAAATACAGCATTTTGGATCTCCAGAAAATGTGATGAGACAAAACTCCTGTCATGCTTTCCAAGTCTTTGGTAAGACAACCATGACAAACTCCTTTCCTGCATATTTCTTCAGGTCACCTTCACCAGTTTGGGTGTCTTACCAGTGGGGGAACCAGTATCTGAAACACACTAAAAATCCTGAAATACTAATTTGCTGGGCTCTAGCCTGGACAAATGGCATCGCTTGATGGATCCTCAGAAAAAACTGTCATGATGTCACTTCTGACATCTGTTTCAGTGTTTGCACATGAAAAATTGTTCTCAAAAGGACGTATGTTAGATGACAGAAGTCACTACCCACCAATAATTTAGGCAAGCTACTGTAAACTACATGCTCGGGGATGTCTCTGCAGTTCACTGCTCCTATCTGCATCTTCCTCTTTCCGTATGTAGTTGAGCACTTTTTGGATTTCATGCCTGAAATTTGTTACCACTGATTTATACGGAAAAGAACCACACATGGTTAGCAAGCCATAACCATTGGGGCTGTTTATTCCTCCCCCCCCTTTTTTTTTTTTCTCCCTTTAGATACCTGTTCACACCAGGATTGATGGAAGTAAACAAAACAGAGCTGTGATGGCTGACAATGCTCAGAACACTTACAACCACACGGCAGGCTTTTTTCCAGTACGCACACATCCAGATTTGATGGTAAAGGATGGAAAAAAGCCCATTCAATGCAACTAGAGGTGCTACAAAGCTCATTTCCCTTTGTTTTACTTACAATTTGTCAAACAAAACGCGAGCTTTTTTTTACACCACTGAGTGTTCCCAGATTACAATTTTCAGCTGTCCGTATTCTTATGTCCAGTTCTCTCCTTCTCTAAAAAACTTCCTCCCCACTTGGACTTGCACCTCAATCAGATGGATCATTTGAAGGCAAAAGCTCTTGAAACAGCACTTTTAGGAGAATAACCCCTCCCCACCATCTCCCTCATCCCTTTGGACCGGAGGCAGCTGATGAAAGGCTTTGCCATGCTAAATCCTCAGGAGTTGAGTATGTGTAAGACAGCTCTGGGCTGAGCAGAGGGAATCTCTAAAGGGAGGAGCAGAAGAGCCAGAGAAAGAAGCAGCAGGGATGAAGGCATCTTGCAGAGTCGCAGCGGAAGAGAGAGAAAAGTTTCCATCTTTTCTATTCTTTGATTTTTTTTTTTTTTTCTATTCTGCATATAAAATTGAATCTTGTGATGAGTATGATAGGCTTGCCAGGGCCACCCAAATTATTGCTTCAGTGCTTGGCTCTCGAATATGAAATACACCATAGTAAGTTACTAGGCTCCTGGACTAGAAAGCTCGTGATGAGACTCTCCCTCTTTAAGCCCTCTCTGTTTTCTTCTGTAACAGAAAAGACCTGCTATTTCACACTCTCCAGATACCTTGAAGGAGTGACTCATTTATCCTCTCATCTGCTCCTTAAGCACTAAAACTGGAAGAGCTAAAATCCTGCGGGGGCAGGAATTTAGCTGAGTTTGTCTAAGCAATTCGATCACCTTCAGGGTCTTCTCCAGTGCTGGGACTCCCACGCTCTGGGAAAAGGCGAGATCATCTTGGGCAAAACCTCCAGCTCCTAAAGACCACTTTGCCTCATCTATGGCTCTGGGATGAGAATATTAAAAAAAGGATGTTGGAAAACTTCAGCCTGAGACTTGCTAAAGGGCCAGAAGGCTGGCAGCACACAGATGCTGCTGGTACCGCTGCTGATTAACATACAACAAGGCAGAAATTCCCTGGTGAAACAAAGTGCTGTGATGAAGTGCTGAAAAGGCAAAGAGCTCTAGAAAGAGGAAGAATGCAATTTCTGAAGTGGAAGATTGATGGCTCTTGAATAGAGCTGAGGGACAGCATCATCTCATATTCCTTTGCTCCCAAACATGGAGCTTTGTGAAGATGCAAACTATGTAAGCTTTTCCCAAGAGTGCTGGTGTTTGTGATGCTAAATGCTCTGGGACAAGGCAGAAAGGAAGAGAAGGAAATAAAGCAAAGCCTGGCAGAAAAAGCAGCAGGCTGAGGTTCACTTCGTTTGTATTTACCTTTTAAGATACATCGCTTTGGAAGTATCTCGAATTTTCCAGAAGGAAAGATGCTGGCCTTAAAATCAGGAAGTCAAAGAGGGTTTAAATCATCTCCAAGAATACAAACAATTGAAAGAGGTTCCAGCTGAGATTCCAAAATCACCTACCACCCCCTTCGTCCCCCAGAAAGCTACATGACCAAGTGCTGAGCGTGGCCAAAAAGGGCAGTCCCACCCTCCTGTGTGTGGGGGAAAGCTGCTGCTTTCTTCCACAATCATTTTCCTGATTAAATACTGAGGTATGTGCACGACGGGCGAGAGAAACACACACCTTGGGGACAGCGTGCACCCTGGGTAGTGCTGAAATGGACCATGGATACGCCAGAAGGACACGCGTGGGTGTGGGAAGTCTGCGGTGGAGGGATGGTGTGTTCCCACTCTGCCCGGGTGACCAGTTAGCAGGAAAATGCCACCCCCAGCTGTACAGACAGACTGGGGCAGCCATCAGTCACTCTCCCGTCGTGATCTGCTCAGAAACAGCAGCGAGTACTTCAAATGTGCTAAATGCACATCTAGGTCACCTGAAGACCTTGTCCTTCTCATACACAGCACATCATCTCATACGTCTTTTACTTGAACTATTATCAAAGCTTTGGTGTACATCTGAACAACTACCAGGTCAATATGAAAGGACACCAATAAATAAGAGTCACTTTGGGCTGTATATGTTAAAATATCAGCCAAACCAACATTTTCCCTTGTTCATCGCATGCTGGACTGCTAGCCAGGGGAACGTAAAGACCTTAATTTATCAACGTTGCTATTATTTCCCTCTGTCCGTGAAAAGTCCCTGTGATATTTCTACTTGGCATCTCCTCCCAGTAGGTCAACAAGCTGTTTTGACAGCATCCTAGTCCTGGAGCCCAAAGTCCAGTCAAGCCAGGGCTCCCATCCTGCGTGCTGAATCGTTGGGGACAGGGCAGCTGCCTTTGCTCTTGATCCATCTCCTATGGATGGCATACAAGTATCTGACAGTTTCCAAAAGGAACAATTAAAATCAATCTGTATGTGAAGTGTGTTTTGATGGTATGGCCTGGCAAAATCTTTTTTATTTTAAATAGCCGTTAATGTGATAACCACCTTCCCTCCAAGCCTTCTGAGGATGAGGTGGGGGATAATAGGTTGGTTTGGTGGACGAATGAATCAGCTAAATTGCTAGCTAAACAGATAGCAAATTAGTCATGCAAAAGCACTTGCAATTCCGTATGAACATTCATTTTAAAGCTAACTGGGACGTCAGAATGGCTTAGACCAGCAGTCAGAATCCTGAACAGCAAGTCTTAAAAAAAAATTATACCCAAAGAAAAATAAATTAATATTTTCCCATTTCAAGCATATGTAAAAATCGTTACGAAAAGTTCTGACTTTCAAATATCAAAGAAATAAAAATGCACAAGTTCTCAATCCTTCTGCTTCTAGAACTAATTGCTTTAGAGCAAGAGTACTTCCTTTTTGTGGCTTTGTTGCAAACCCCTGGAACTAAAGAGCACCAGAATAATGACCTCAGCTGGGGTTAGTGAGGTGAACCACAGCTCAAAGTATTCTTGAGAACACTTTTCTGAACACTAAGTATATGTTTTAAAAAATAAAAAAAGGGAAAGAAACACAAAGGATAGAAAAAAAATATTCCCAAATCAGTTTTCTGATATCTCTAGATATAATGAGCAATGACTTTGGTTTCTTCTGACAAGTAGCCCTAAAAAAGCCAAACCAAAAAAACACCAATCAAGCTCTACCTCTTTGAAAACATTACCATGGCACATGTGCCCTCTCCACCCAAAACAGGAGGAAAATGGAAGTAATTGATGTCAAACAGCAGACTTCTTTGCCTTTTCTCAAAGGAAAGGAAAGACACGCTGACATTTAAAGTGGCATGTGAACCAACAAGGGAAAAAAAATTAGGTCTCATCTGACACAGCATATATTAAGTATAAATCAACATAAAATAAGTCTGATTAAGCAAACTCCAGAATGAAGAAGAGACGTGCAAGCAACATACGGAACGTAATATCAAAAACCACAAAGCCCGTGGCAGGCATTCGCCTAAGTCTCGGCCAAGGAGAAGTCTTGGCCAAGGAGGACAGGTCAATTTTCTGAATCACATGGCCATACTTACTCTGTGCTTCACAGTCCACGCAGTGGGAATTGCCTCTGATGTTCCTTATGGACTGAAGGGCCATGGCCTCGTTCTGACTCGTCAGGCGAGACTGCGTAGATTTAAAGAAATGCATAAGCAACAAATCAGAACCCAGTAAAATTAGATGACACAGCTGACAGCTGAACGAACGGCAAAACCCAAAGCTTAGACCAAGGTTGAATGAATGTGGTCAAGGAACCTCAAGTCCTTGGTTTGCCTCTCAAGAAATGGTGATCCTTCGGCATCCCCAAGTACTGCGAGTCCACACCTGCCAAGCAGGGACTCTTCTTTCCTCCTGTCCTTGACAGCTCAGGATTTCTCCCAAGGCTCTCTCCACCCTGTGCAGGAGCTCCCAGCGTTTTGGGGTCTCCAGTCTAGATTCTAACAAGTGAGGAGACCACACAGAGGAAAATCAAGCTTAAAACTGAACCCTGCTATTCACGAGAACAGTAGTCACAGTGTAGGTTTGCTTCTTGAGATAAATTAGATAAGAATATTATTTTATAAAATCAATTTCTTTTATTGATGTGTATGCTGTTGCTAATGAAGACTAAGGGTTGGTTTGCAAAAGCAGCTGAAACCTTTTTATCATCAAAAGGTCAGATTTAATCAGATGGCTCCCATTTAAATTCTCTCCGTGATGACCTGCCAGTGACCTCTACTTGGACCTGGAGAGACTGTCACAATGCACAAGTAGTTCGGCTCTACTCAACTAAACTGTCTCGTGGGCTCTCTGAGAAGAAAACTGGGAGCTGTAGCAATTGATGGACTCTTTGCAACAAATTGATTTAAGCAGGATGAGGACCACGTCTTCAGTATGGCCATGTGGAGACACGTCCTCCTGATCTACCAAGAAGACACCTAATAAACCTGTCCAACTAACTACACTTCACCATTCCAGCTAGTTCTTCTGGCATATTTTGAGACCTCAGTAATACTTTACAGAAAAAAAACCTCTCTGAGTCACTTACCAGTCACTCTTTATCCTCTCTTGTATTAGTATTTTTATGTAGGTGTTGGTGTACAAACTTCCTCTTTTATGCACCCTTAATGTACATATCAGAATGCATAAATCCATGAAAGGCAAGAAAACACACCAGCAGTGACTCTTCTCTATCTCAGACATACATATTGGAAATACATACTTTTTTTCCCAACAAAATGGGAAGTAAATTATATGATGATGATAATTACTGGTGTGTCTGATCTACTCTGGTAGATCAGGCCAATGAAAGCAGGCGTTCATTTCAATATATGAGTCTCTTCCTTGCAACATAAAATCACAGCATAACAGAATGTCAGGGATTGGAAGGGACCTCAAAGGATCATCTAGTCCAATCCCCCTGCCGGAGCAGGACCACCTGGATTAGATCACACAAGAACGCGTCCAGGCGGGTTTGGAACATCTCCAGAGAAGGAGACTCCACAACCTCTCTGGGCAGCCTGTTCCAGTGTTCTGTTACCCTTACTGGGAAGAAGTTCTTCCTCATGTTTAAGCGGAACCTCCTATGTTCCAGTTTATATCCATTTCCCCTTGTCATTAAGATAACTGTTAGGTGGATCATGTTAAAGGACCTATAGGTCTGAACAATTACTCCCCACTTCTCTCCTCCACCACCACTCAACACCCTGCTCTCTAGTCGTGAAGTGTTTGCAAACACAAAGACTCAAGAAGCAGAAGTTCTCCTGCCTTCCAAAAATGAGCAATAGCTGAAGAAGTCTCATATTTTAAGCATTTATTTTGACAGAAAAGGAGAACAAATTACTTCTGTCATCATATGAAAACATTGCATGGTAGAAGGCCTCTTGGGTCATGTTCATCTTCCCCCCAAAATCTGTGATGAACTGTTTCTGGAGGGGCTTTCTGTTATATTAGTTAAGGTAGAAAACCATAAAAAATTAATTCAGTGTAATTAAAGAAAAGAAAAAACTGCACATATACTTTGATTTCTGTGATTTGTATTACTTCGTCACGGCAGAATCCTACGGCTGAACATTACTGCATGTTTATGGTCAGGCCAACCAGAATGTTGCTCAGTAGGTTTAACTAGAGATTTGACTAGTAAATACGTTGGTTTTGGGGTCTGTCTCCACCCTTCTCTGAGACAGGCTTTTCCTAACGGGACTTCTGCAGGCTTCTAGCCTGAAACAATCCTGAACGTGCAGCGGTGACTACACTACACAACTTCTCAGTAGGGAGGGTCCATGACCTAGCCCCCAAAGTTTTAGTCAATATATTAAGAGCAATACTGAAGGCAAAAAAGATCAACCAGGAGCTACGTTAATTAAATTGCTGTAACAAACTGCAAACCAGGATATAGCACCACCTGTCTTGAAATATCTGTGACATGCCTGCAGCTCTAATGCTGCTGGTGTGTGCCTAGCACATTCACATCTCCAGGAGCACAGGTTTAAAATTCAGAGTTGTTGGTTTTGCTCTCCCTCTAACGACCATCCACCCATTACTTATCTTCAGCATTCCTCTGTGGACCATACCTTGTTCTTGCTGCTCTCACATGACTGTAAACTGGCCAAGATCTGACTCTCTATGGCTTGCACCCATGCATCTCTTTCTTCATACGTGGTAGCTTCAAAGTGCCAAGTCTGGCCGGTGAGAGAGACAATGATAAACTCAAAGTTTTCTTCTTGTTCTGAAAAAAAACCATGCAATAGCAAGAAAAGTTTAAGGATTTTGATAGCTAGTCTTAAACAATCTTGGTTGATGAGCATTTCTGCAATGTACCAAGCAGGTCTAGACGTTTGAGATTTGAGGCTAGATATATCCCACTACCCCGCATCAGAAAACGACTTGTGGATCCACTGCTTTTTCTCTCCAAAAGTTATGTAGATAAGGTACTGTTTTGGGTAAATAGTCAGTTCCTGTGCATGTTTGGTGTCGAGTCTATACCTTTTTCCAACACCAAGTGGCTGACAAGCATTACTTAGACTTAAATCCAAGGCGTTAAGAGCTTCATATTGTAAAAACTGAAGTGTGCCACAAAATACCTTAAAAGCTGAATGAAAAATAAAGAACTGACACTACAGAAAATCCGACAGTTTACTCTCTTCCTTCAAGCACTTGTTTCCATGCACAGACATATTAAAAGCAGATGTGTGCATTTTCCTGTCTACAGCACGAACACACGGGGTTATAACACAGGATTAAAATCAGTTCAACCTATTCCATGTTCACGTTCGACACGGGAGATGAGAAAATGATCTGAGAAGCTAGCAGAAAGGGTCAATGAAATATCCTTAGGGCTATTAGAGTATAAGGATAAGTATTCAGGCCAGAGGACTGCGGCGTATGAAAATACCTGCAGAACTGAACTAAATGGACACATGCTCCAACCACACATGGGACACCAAAGTCAAATTGAAAAAAATCAGGGAAGCTGAAACCGAGGGAGCGGAATTGGGAAGGGCAGGCATAAAGCATGAAAGGAACAGAATAATAGAGCACAAAGTTCTGGTGAACATCAGCCATAATGGGCTTTAGAAAGAGCATTTACGTTCGCTCCTCTGCTAATGACTTATTAGATATTCAGAGCCACGAAGCTCCTGCATTACCTTGTCAGCCATAAGCACGCAAAGATAAGTGACACATCTAGCACCAGCTTTAAAGAGGTACTGCTGCTCGCTGGTGGTCATTTTCTCAACCTGTGGGACAACTGGTTTTCTTTGCTAAACTCCACGCTAGCAAGGACAGCGCCGACGCTGCTTTAATGAAGTCTTAAAAAATAGAAGGTTACTTTGCACCTTGAGGTGAGAATAAACACAGAGGTGAAGGTTATCTATAGGTGCGTGAGGGCACCTGAAGCAGTAGTTTTACTTAAAAAAAAATAGTGTATGGGATAAGCAGGAAAACAAAGATAAGAGAAACGATGCAACTGTACAGCTATAAGTACTTTTTCATTTTAGCAACACTGTGTTAAAAACAAATAAGTAGACTCGTTATCTAAAATGCTAGGATTAAATCATGGAAAAAGCCACATTTATCAAGCAGAGCTTTCAAGAGTTTAGGAGGAAGATGTAAGAGATGGAACTACTCAACAATAAAGGAAATTACGTTCAGTCCTGCGCACTGTCTCCTGTAGGACAACACGGTTACGGTCTTCTACGTACGTAGATGTGGTATGGTGTGTAGTCAGTGGGGAGGGTATGGCATGTGCAGAGTTATGCATATGTTGATGAAAATGGAACGATGGCGAAGGAAGAGAACGTGAAAAACTGAATCCCACCTGACGCAGCCCCGTGTAGAGTTCAATTTAAGAAATTCATCGGATTTAGGCTTTTCAATGGCTTCTAAGCGATAGAACTCTGTACTCCTGAAGTCTTACTGAAGGAGGATTTCCCAGTGCTGGTCACTAAATGTTCAGGAAATCCTTCTATACGAGTTTCTCAGTGTGGGTGGTACTGAGACACACGTATTGTTACAGCAGGGACCCTGCAACATGCAGTAACAACAGAGACCTGTTTCAACCTCACTCCACTTTCTGCACCTCATGCCCTTCTCCATCAGCCCTTCCCTTCTCCCCTCACAGCTCTGCTCCAGCCTGCATCGGATTTTCCCTGCACCTCTCTCCCCTGACCATACACCAAACCACTTGCACGTACGCCAAAGGCTTAGTATAACCCAAAGGAGGTGCCCACTAGAGAAAACAGTCATTTTGGTACCTCCAGCTAAAAATTCCCCACCCTCCCTTTTCAGGCAGGGAGCAGGCCCTGTAGGGATGCAAAGACACAGAAGAGGGTGATGAGAGAGGAGACTTCTCCAGCGCACGTGGCAGGGCTGACTTCCCAACGCATAACAACTCAACGAGTATTTGTGGTATGTAACTAATACTCAACAAGTACCTACAGTATATCTTCAGAGAGTGTCTCTCAGCACTAATTCTCTACCAGCTCATCCCAGCATTTAAGTACTGGGTGACTTTCCAGCACCACAGTTCTAGACCTTAAAGGAAATATATACAATCAAGATGCAGGATCACTGAATCCTATCTCCTATTTTCCAATAATCCTGATCATGGAATGGTTTGAGTTGGAAGGGACCTCAGAGACCATCTAGTTCCAACCCCTCTGCCATGGGCAGGGACACCCTCCACTACACCAGGTTGCCCAAAGCCTCATCCAACCTGGCCTTGAACACTTTGAAGCTGGGATGGCAAACTCCACGTAACACGCTGGTGAGTCTGTCCCAGTATGGTCCCACTGTGGGTTATGGGGGCTGCAGCGTGTTTTAAGGCTGGGCTGGAGGGACATTTTCATTTCATCAGTAAGTCAGCTGAAAACTTGGTCATTACTGATGATACACTAAGAATATACAAGTTTTCACTCTCTGATAGCCACTGAAGATTCAAGTTTACTCCTTAAAAAGCCCAGATGAAAGCAACTGTGCCAGTTGAAGATGTGTTCAATAACACATTTTCTGCTTAAATACACCAATTTCTTTTTTTGTAAGCACAACTGTGAAACAAAGCAGCAGTGCCTGCTCTACGTCACCCATAGGGCAATGCCTAAAAACCACAAATAGTGAACGTGTATGTCCTTTTCCATTGCATACATGAACAGGAAAATCCAGGCAGCAGAATGAAATTGTTCAGTTTTACTCTTCAGTAAAATTATAGGTTGTGCTATTTAAATCCCTGTGAGCCCAATCACAAAATTTTATTAAACAGTTTTCCATGTTTAACAGTTATTCATAGAAAGGTCCACTATAATAGTATTTTAGCACCATCAACCTGTCGAAATCAACCTGCCCAATTACTCCAAACTACATTAATAACACCGGATATTACACTAATTGTGTCCAGTTTCTATGCAGACGAGGCCCCGTGAGGCTAATTCTGCATCCTCAGGGGCAAGCAACTCAGCCATCAACCTGATTTCACCAGGAATCCCTCCTCATTACACAAGTCCAGGCTGTCAAACTTTTTTTTTAAAAAAAAAGGTTAATGGGCCAATCAGTCATCAATTATTTCTTGGAAGGCCAGCAGACAAAGGGTTAAAGTGCGAAGAACCAGCTGCAACTCATTCCCATTTGGAAGTTATTATCAACAGGAGATGTCTAAAATGTTGTTGTTTGTTTTGTGTCCCCCCTCCCCTCCTTTTTTTTTTAAGTGGGAAGGGGTGGCTAAGATGGGAAATTAGTTGAAACTGTAAGATTATGATGATATGGAACCTCAAGCATAAGGGATTTTATTTTTTTTAGAGGACCAGTGGAAGTGGGCATGCAATTAGTGAGTTTTAGGAAAACCACCACACCATCACAAGCACCACACCACTTCCAAAAAGCTACACGGTACCACTGTTTCTGCTGCATATACTGTTTTCACCATTATCTTTTCATAGCAAAGTTACTGCATTTAACTCAAGTTAACATTTATTTCGCTCTGCCAAAAGACAGACTCTGCTACAGCCCACCCACTTATGGAAAATAAGAGATGCAATCTCTAAGAAGCAAAGGACTTTGCAAAGGAAAACAAATATTCAGGCACAGTCTCACTGCACTCCTGTACTGATGCCTGTGTTTATTGTACATAACAGAGATCAGATTTAGAAAACTGCACTGAAAATAACTACAGGATACAATTAGTCTGTAACTCAGTCCAGAGAACTCAATTAAGTCTACTAAAATTTAGGGAAAACACGTGTCCAGAAGCAGTTACACCTCTTAGTATCCCGTAAGAGTGGTTCTAAATGGTGTGCATGTATCAGTTTGTTCACAATTTCCACTT